ACTAATTATAGATTTATAAAGCCTATATCTTAAAATTCTAAACCCTAAAAAATTTTTTGACACCTAAAACCCCCTAAACACTCAAAACTAAACTCTAATAGAACATAATTAACCCAAACATAAATAATATAAAGAAAAAATAATTTTGAAAAAGTGGGATTTTTGTAAAGATTTCAAAAGTGTGGCATTTTTGTAAAGTGGCACTTGAAAAGTGGCATTTTTTGAAATTTCTCTAGACTAAATGTTGATAATTTTTTAGAAATGTCACTTTTCAAAAATATCATCATTTTGAATTTTTATTTAAAATGTTACTAATCCTCTATGTATTAATTGAATAGACATTTGGTGAAAAAATCATTTAAATTAACTAATGAAAATATTTTAATTAGGGTTTTAAGGGTTTTAAGGAATATGTCATTTAAGGAATATGTCATTTAAATTAACTAATGAAAATATTTTAATTAAAACTATATCCTATGTTGGAAATCTCTATATATTTTTATTAATTTTATAACATAAACCCATTAATATATATTTTACAGAGTTAAGTTTAACTAAATGTAATATTTAAACTTACTATATCATCTATTTAAAAAAAATTGATTATTAAAAAGGTTTTTTATTATCCTATTTATAACAATATTATTTATTTGTAGATGATAACTATAATTAAAAATATTTTTACATTTTATTATTAGTAAACATATATTTTTTGTTTGTTACGTCCAACAAATTTATATAAATCTAAAATTTATTTAATTTATTGCATACTGTACTATTTACACAAATAATAAAACTCAATTTGATATTTCAATTAAATTGAAATAAATAACATTTGTATTAGTTTTAATATTCTTATGCAAAATTGATCAAAGCATATGATATTGAAATATGTTTAGTAAAAATTTAATTTTATTACATTTATGCACAATACATATTATTTTGTACGTTTATAAATATTAGAATACACATCTAAATATTAAAATCGATTATAAAATATATTTTAGTATTTAATCCCACGCTTGACGTGGATCAAAATCTAGTTATAAACTAAGTAAAAGACCCGTATTATGATAAAATATTTTATAGCCCGTAAAAAAATCAAACTTAGAAAAGTAAACAAAAAATCCATGGGAATTAAAAAAAAAAAGATAAAAAACGTTGATACTAAATAAATATAACAGTTATT